GTCTACAGTCCCAGAGGTTGAATCCACGTTCCGATCTCGTTCCAGTAGTCGACTCAGCGCTCTATACTGCCTAGCTCGTTAGTTGATAGCCGTCATTGACCAACCTCTTGAGTTAGTAGCATAGGCTAGGTCACCTAGAGATACTACCGCAATCTGACAATTCTGAGAGGAAAACGGACGCGTGGCGCAGCCCAAAATAGATGAATGAGTGTTGAATGCCTTGTCCTCAAAAGTATGATTCTTTTGTAAGCACTTGAGGTGTGTATCTGTCGTCAAAAGTGTCGTGTTCATTGGTGAGCAACAATCGATTTCATATTTTTTGTACAGCTTATACAAAAAATCATTGAATAAACCAACCCAAATACTTGAGCCTTACTGCTAAGGCCACAGAACAAATCATCCTTGTACTCCTCGAGACCAGCGAACATGAATACCCAACTATAAAATACTATTGAGGTCAGCAATGTGCAGATCATCCAATTTCGAGCGAATCGTTTCGTGCACACCCATTTGCGGAAACCTACAAGGAAACTGGAATTATAATACAAACTGAGAGGACCAGACAGATTTCTCCCTATAGCTACGCTCCATCGAGTTAATAAGTAGATGGACGAGTATAGTATAGCTGGATCTCCAGCTCATATTCAAGGATATGCTCAAGAAGTAAAGTTTCAATTTGTTCGACATGGCAAACACCTGGCCATCGACTTATCTTTCCCCTGTTCCCCAACAGTTCTTCTAGTTTCAAGAAAGGTAGCAGACCACCAAATGGTAGTGGACAGGAAAATGGAACTTACACCGCATGTTAACCAATTAAATAAGGCACTAGGACTATCCAGTGACCTCATGAGTTCGAGTAACCTTAGCTAGCCACAAGTTCCACAATCAGTCAAGTAGAGCAGTCCAGGAATAAAGTAGGCCAAAATCCGCAAGCATAAAGGAGTTGCAGACACCGCTACTTCAACGTACATCATAACAAGAAAGCTAGGAGATTTGGAAGAAGTACGCCTTTATGTCAAAATCCGCGCCAGAAAGATGACGGGCTGGTGAATCCATTGCTATGTGCTTCTCCGCATCTCCTGCTCTTTTTCGTTCTCTGGTTTTTACCCGTGCGTCACCTTTCCCCGTTATGAGCTCATTCATAGCTTAAGTCTCCTACAAAAGTAGAGCGCTGTTTGTTCATGATTTCTTATGGCTTATTCTGCTAGCAGATCATAAACGCGTATGGTTTCGAAATCGAATCCCATCACCCCACATATTGCTGTTGTGTGAGAGTAGCTTGGCAATGTAATGTATAGACAGAGGGTACTACCATACCTCCGAGTTATCCGGCGCGAAAGGCTGCTGTCTATAAGCTCCTAATTGTGTCATCGGGATGTTTCTCAGTCTAAATAGCCCGACTTAAAGGCACAGCCCATCAAACTGGTGTATTATTCCGATGGAAAATGAAAGTGGAGTGCGACGAAATGGACATATTGTGAAGAGAAACAGAAACCAACTCAACAAGAACTCTCAAAATAAGTGTCCTTCTTCTTCTATTTACACGAGCAGGATTCTTAGGATCCTAGGAGGCAGTCAGCGAGAGTGAGGCAGTCAGCACAGTGGGGGGGGGGTGGGGCGGAGAAAGAAAATGATGGAGGATCAGCATTGATACTAGAAGAACCGGTCACAGACGACGACGTCAACTCCTGAGCAGGATCGTGGCTGGAACTTCGTAGGCATCTTCAAATATTTCAACTAGCACCTCTACTGTATAGTATGGTGCGGCGAAATTCCTACATCCTGCTGGGCAATTCTTTCGTCCTGGAACCTTCAATTCGGTACTATTTGTAGGGTGTGTCTTTAGGAAAATCCGGTATGCAGAAATAGCTGGGGTCTTTATTTTAAGAGTGGTGCCAGCGGAATTAGGTAGAGCAAAGCCTGAGCCCTGGCCTAATACATTTTGCAATGACAAGCATGCTATTCAAATGAGTGAGCGTCAAAAGTGTAATTATCAAGAGAAAGGAAGCCCTAAGTTCAGCTGTTATTTACCTGGACGATATAAGACTACCATTCGATCACATGATATCCACGAAATCATCCACACACAGTTGAAATCGGACAGATGAGCTAGGAACGTGAACACTTTACATCCGATATCGGAATCCATATAGATGTGAAGTCGATATGCAGAATCCACCCATGAAACAATCAGCTGAAAGAACTACTTTATCGAGGAGCATCTGCGGAGTAACGGGAACGATTTCCTTCAGGGATAACTCGTCATCTTTCGCGTATCCCTGAGCTTATTCCTCCTTGCACAACTGCCGTCGAGCGGGGATATGTAAGACTTGAAAAAAAAAACGGACATCGGCAATATGCAATTTTGCTCGTGTCATGCATTTGTCATGGAATTTCTAAAGAAATGAGGCGAAACCATTCCCCTTCCCTCTCCATAACACCACGACCCATTAATTTCCACCACTGCGACCCCCTCCAAATACGTCTCAAAATCTCAAACACCTCTCAAAATCCCAAATACAATCCTATCCTTCTCGAATTCCGATACAGAAACAAAAGACACTGAAGCCCGCCCTCCCCAAAACATCCAATATGAACCCTTATTACGTTCGTTGAACATGGCACACACGGGGCGGTTGACAACGCTTTTGGGAGGAGCATGAGCAAGAGCTTAAGTGTCATCGCTGTATATGGCATGCTGACTGCCCTCTCCCCCCCCCCTTGGACAAAACATAAAATTATACACAAGCACTGTCTCTCACTCAATGCTTTCGAGAACTGATTACCAGAAGCTAAGGGCCGTCTCATTTTCGTTGTATTAAAATGAAGAACGGTTCGAATTTCGAACTAAAAAAGTTACCGTATAGAATAACGCAGCTCAATATTTGATAATGTGCCACAGATACATCGTTTGATTGGGAGAACGTCGCAGCCAGAAGTTAGTCCTGAAATGCGACTCAATTGGATTCCCTTTTGATGGGTACAGTGAAGAACTTAATGCGGAAGTGGTGTGATACTGTATAAATAGCAGTAGTGCCAATTACCATACGCATGGCCCAGGAAAAAGAAGTCTCAAGGTAGGGAACCTGAAAGGATGTCCGCCACGCGGCGAGAAGGCAGAGACGCAGACGGGTTAGTGGACGAGTTATAGCGCGAGCTATATGATGCAGACTTAGGAGTGCATTCTAATTAGTTTGAATTCAAAATCAGAATCCCTACAGTACGCACTGCCACTCGTCCGCTAACCCGTCTGCGTTCCTTCCTTTTTACCGCACGAATGGCCTCCTATCGGGCATCCTCAAATTCGACTTCCTTTGAGTCATAAGCCTATTCATTCCTGTCAGTTTTGTGCATGTTGTGTTGTGTCTCACTCGGAAGGATGGAAGAGCAATGATGACTTGTGGAATAAGGGAACCTTTGCACCATCACTAGAGAACCCCTGAGTGGTACTAGGCAGGTGAGGCCAAAGACCCTCGTAGACCCTTTTTTTCGCAGAGTAACCATAATAATTCGCCATGGATTGAAATCTTGCCCTTTGACGGCACTAATTTTGGGACCAGAATGGAGCCCTGACCACATAAATCCGTGGGTGACAGTGCATTTGTCATTAGGGTTTTAACGGCCGGCACTGTAATGCGCTACTTTAGGGCGACAACGACCGGAGTTAACGACTAAACGACAGCGTTTTTCTGTAAGCCAAGAGGAAGTAGGGATGGTTAAATATAGGACATCAATCACAGCAAAGCCGGATAAATAAAGATAAAAAGAATAAAGCACTCAGTGTTGATCAGTGTCAATCCCATTTAGGATGCGCCACGCATTCTTCTTCCATTCAGAATCGTAGTTGCAATTTGGTTTGACCGATTTGGCCTGTACAATGAATTGCGTGAGTCAGCTGATATACAGGTCAGTGAATTTTTATCATTCCAAAAAAGCTGATACCAATTAATCAACCCCAGAGAGATGGAAGGCTCAGTTGACCCGGATATGCACAACCCAGAAATTCATCCCCGACGCGCGCGCTAAGCAGCGCCACTCGTTACTGATAGCTGTACATATATAAAGGATAAAGCATTTGCCGTTGATCAATCCCTTTTTGGGATGCGGCACGCATTCTACTTCCATTTGTACATTCGTAGTGGCGTTTGAATGCGATGTGGCCTATACAATGACTTGCGGGGGCCAGCCGATGTACAAGTCAGTGTTTTTATCCTCCCAGACAAGTCTGGTACCAATTAACCGACCCCGGAGGGATGGAAGGCTTGGTTGGCCCGGGCGACTCACGACCCAGGATTTGATCCCCGGACCGCTCGCGTGGTAAGCGCGCCACTTGTCACTACACCACTTCCGCCCTTTTTTCTGATATGATAATCATCGTATTGAAAATTCCGGCACTTTTCAGAAAAAGCCTATCAAATTCATTACTAATTGCAGCCACCTCATAATGCTCACGTTTTTTTTTTCTCTTCTTCTTTCTTTCCTTCACTCATCTTCCTTTGACAAGTGACTTTTTATGATTCTATGCGTTCCGAGGATTGCTCGTGTCTGCATCCTCTCTATGATCCAGTCTGTATCCTCTGGTAGTTGTAATGATCGCACATGTTTTCTTAAATTTGGTGTGCACTCACCACATGCTCCTACCACTATTGGTATTATTTCTACAGTCATTCTGTGTTGTTCCTGCAGGTCCGCTTTCAGGTTCGGGCCTGGGTAATAGTCCTCTATCTCAGTGTCTTGTGGCAAGCAACTGTTCATGCCATATTTGCGGACCTTTTTGGTCTCTTGTTCTATCATCCTAGTATACCAAGGCACCGCTATTTCCACAATCCATATTTTCTTGTTGCGGATGTCTTTAACTACTATATCTGGTCTATCGTGCCTGATATTCTCTGTGGTTAGGATGCGGTCATTCCAGTGTATTTTGACCCGGTCTCCTTCTACAATGTGAGGTGTATGGGTATTGGTCACCTTTGAACCGAGCCCATATTTCTTCTTTAGTGCGTCATAGATGACTTTTGCGACACTGTCATGTCGTTTTATCATTAGGCCGGTTCGCCAGTAATTGCACGTAGACACTATGTGTTCTGCGGTTTCTCTGGCTTGGCAGTGCATCCTGCATAGTTGGTTGCTGTGTGGCCATAGGGCGCGACCGGGCGCACTTGCCTTAGTTGGTAGTGAGCCTTCTTGTGCGGCCCATATGTTTCGCAGTACTTCAGAGGAAATCCATCCTCTTCTAGACCAGAGGAACGAGTCCTTATGACATATATATGGTTGAGTACTCGTTCCATCTGCTGCTATTATTCTGCTTGCCACTTCTCTTTGCTTCCATTCAAGCATCCTTGTTGCTGTCCATCGCTCGTGAACCAGTTTTGAGATCACTCTCGCAGCGTCAGTCGCTGTCGTAAAGGCTCTTTCTCTGACCTGGATGGAGGCTTCCGCCAGACGTTTTACGTCATGCTCGAGCCTATTTTCTCTCAGAATGGAATGGAAGTCTGATGTAAGTGATCTTTTGTTGCTGGTCCTGAGGCTTTCGCAGAGCTGGTAGGGCACTCGGAGCTCTGGTCTTGAGGCCATGTAGCACCATGTGTATACTATGGAGTGCTCTAGTTCCTCTTCTGCTGATTTGAGTCCTAGGCCTCCTGCTTCTTTATTCACGTATAGGCGTGGTACACAACTGTGTCCATATCTCATTTTTGCTTCAGCAAGGAGCTTGCGAACGGATTCATCAAATGTTCTTGCCTGCTTCCTTATGGTGCCGAATTTCCCTGTTCCGTATATAATGCATGAAAATGCATACTTGAGTTTAGGTATCACTACTTGATTGTACCCGTTAACTTTTTGGCGTACGGTAAGTTCGCTAAGCATAATTCTCCGTGCTGCGGAATGGGCTTTGTCTATCACCCTCTTCCACATTTGTTCCATATTGACGAGTATATTTTGTTCTGCTCCTAGGTATTTGTATAGTGAGTTTGAGCCCAGGATGGGTATTTCCTCCATTGCAGGCGTTAGTGTTAATTGCTCACTCGCATTCAGTGAACTGATTGCACATTTGGAGGGATTCATTCGGAGCCCAAGCTCTCCAGCTACTTTCTCGATGCTTTCTTTGGCGAGCATTACGTCTTCCCACTTGGGCGTGTATACCTTGAGATCATCCATATAGAATTGATGGTTCATCTCAAGAGGTATGCTGTCTTGTGTTAGCGATCCTGTGGCCGTACGGTATGGTGTTACGCAGTTACGTAGCTTTGCCGATATCGGCGAGATCACTATACAAAATAGGAGTGGGCTGAGCGTGTCACCTTGCATCACACCCTTCTTTACTGCTAGTGGTCTGCTTTTGACCATTTTACCGTTTTGATTACCACAGTATCGTACACTTTGTTTTGACATTATTACCGATAGGAGTCTTCGAATGGGCGAAGGTATACCTGCCCTGGCTAAGATCCATTTAATAGCACCATGGGAGACGGTGTCAAATGCTTTGGTCATGTCGACCCACAGCATGTGTAGTGGTTTTGTTCGCCGGAGGGCGTCTTTGCATATTGTCTGGTCTATTGTGTGTGCATGCGTGCATCCCCATATGCCTTTTTTCAGGGCTACTTGTTCTGGAGGGAGCACTTCTCCTGCAGGATTGGAGTATTTGCTCGGCGATCATGGCCGTTAATATTTTATAGCATGTGTTTAGGCATGCTATCGGGCGGAAGTCTCCAGGTCCTCGGTTTTGTGAACCTCCTTTTGGTATAAGGACTATCCTTCCTCGGCAGAGCCAATTCGGTATGATCTTGTGGGGCCTGTGCAGCGCATGTTTGCACCACTGTATTAGTTTTTCTTTAGCCTCTGGGAGCTTTTTCCACCAGAAACCTTGAATTCCATCTGGGCCTGTCGCTTTCCAGGGCTTTATTTTAGCAAATATGCTTGCCCACATTTCGTCGGGAAGGCTCTATTATATTTCCAGTTCGTTCTCTAGGTTCCGTAGCAGCCCATGCTCGTAAGTCATCTGATAGACTGAATATTTGAGGCTCTCCTATTATATGTTTCCAATGTTCTCGTACTTCTGCTACTGGCACGTTGCATTCTCTTTCTCGCGGTTCTCTCGCTACCGCGGGGTACCCACGCTGCCGTATTCGTTTAAGTTTAAGAGAATTCTCCAATGCTGCAATTTTTGATTGCAGTATGTTCAGCTCATCTTTATATCTTGACAAGAGTCTCTGGACTTCAGTGGTCGAGGACACTTTCTTCAATCTGGCTATTTCCAGAAATTGCTTGCTGGGGGCTCCTCTGTTCTCTGTTCTTCTCTTGAGTTCGTGTGAGAGTGAGGAGATTAATTTTAGGAGATAACTCCTTAATTCTTTATATTCTCTTAAGTTTTGATGGGTTTTTCCCGCTTTTTCCGCCTCTTCTTCTGATGCAAGCATCGAGATTACTTTTGCTATGGCGTAAACCGCAGCGTTTAGCGCTGTTAATGTGCGCTTGTTTGTTGAGTTTCTGCTATTCAGTTTC